CACTTGTAACCCTTGGATCGTTATACACAAGCTGAGCAAGGGCTGTTTTGCCCAACCCCCCTATTCCCACAATAGTGAGAAAAGATACATCGTGTTGCACATTAGAATCGAGCATCATAGGAACAATCTTCTCCAAGTCATCCCGTCTTCCAATGATATCACCTGCATCCACATAGGAACAGGTCTCGGGCCTTCTCCTCCGAATAGGCTCGGGATCATGCTTAAAGCTAAACTGAGTGTTATAAGCAATAGCATCCAGTTTCTTCCTGATTTTCTTAACCCCTCAAGACATCCTGTAAGCAACACCTAGCGGGTTATCAGAAAAGAAGTGACACACCTTTTTAGAGAGACTACCACCAGCCTCCAAGAGTTGCTTCTGCTGAGCAAGAGTAACAAACTCGTCCAGCAGATCATCTGCTTCAAAGACGGCGTCCCTGAGCTCCTCGAGTTTGTACTGTGCTTCGTGGGAGAGCTCCTGCTTGGCCTCTGCATCAAGAAGCACAGCATTGACGGCAGAGACAGTGCGACGGAGATCATCGAGCTGGGATTTGTAGCCAAAGATTGAAAGGATCTCTTGGAGCTCTGAACACTGCAAAGCTGCAAGCAGAGTTTGAGCAGCTGATAGAACTGTGCCAACAATATCCATTTTTTATTTTTTATTTTTTTTTTGTGAAATAAGATGTAAAGAATAAGGTAGTGATAAACAAGGTCTGCTATAGTCCTATCATACGGTTGAATTCTTGTAGCAAAAGGAGATAAGGTAGATCAATTTGACATGCTGGACAAAAGATGACTGAATAAAATAACGGTTGCAACTTGCAAGCTCTGCTATAATCCACTCAAACGAAATAATGCAAGATCAAATTTTCACGGACCAATAATTATACTTATGCCAGGTAGTGCTATAATTTCATCTAAAGTAATAATTCAGTGGCTCCACAAATTTGATTTTTCCTTTCCTGGTTGTTTCACGAGTCTAGTGGGGTTATCACTAAAACAATTTCTGGGAAAACGCTTCACAGAGTAACCACGTACTCCCCATCTCTTAAAGATTGTCCTGTGTAATCATTCCCAAACAACTTGTTTGTTTAGGTGAACTGCTATTCGTCGCTTCCAATTTACCATACGTCGCTTTCATTTTAATATAAAGTGACCATTTTGCCCTTTTCTTAATTTGGGCTATATAAGGCTCCACCACTTTGTGAGAAAGATTCCCGAGCATTTTAATATTATTCTCGAGTACTTTGACCCACCACTTGCTTTAAAAAATTCCCGAGCCCACCACCAAAAATCTTATTTTCTTTTTTTAAAAAAAAATTATGAAGCTTTATCGACGGGTTTTGGACGATGAACGACGACAACGATCATACATTAGAGGCATCGTCGGAAGAATCTGTAAGTCGTAAATTTTTTTTTTTTTTTTTTTTTATGTAAAGGGGACTTCCGCCCAGAAAATCCAGATCCTCCATGGGGGATCCGCCTAAGATTTCCAGATCCACCATGGAAGATCCGGAAATCTTAGGTGGATCCTCCATGGAGGATCCAAATGTTCTGGGCGGAAGTCCCCTTTTCAGAATTTTTTTTTTTATGTCATTGATTATTAGTAATATTATTATTCTTTTTACTAGTGTTATTATTATGATTATTATGATTACGATTATTATTATTATTATTGTTGTTGTTGTTTTGTATTATTATTGGTGAACATAAATTGAGTTGCGCAAAAAATGTGGTTTGTAATTGTTATTAATATTGTTATTGTTATTGTTATTGTTATTATTAGTCATTTTTGTTAATATTAGTTTATGTTAATGTTAGTTAATATTAGTGTTAGTTGATGTCAGTTAATATTATTTAATATTAAGAAATGTTATGATATTGGTTAATTGTTGTGATAATATTGTGATATTATTATTATTATTATTATTGTTGTTGTTGTTGTTGTTGTTGTTGTAGTTGTATAAATATTATTATTATTATTATTATTATTATTATTGTTTTATAAATATTGTTATCAATATTATAATTAAAATAATAATATTGGAGTGTTTTGTGTGTTTTCTTTTATTTTTATAGGATTCGGAGTTTGAAGACGGCGGTGACGGTGTGAATTATAATGCGAATTTTTTCACAGACACGTTTGATGATGTAGTTAGATGGGCGGATGTTGTTGCCATAAATCTGGGATTTATTTTGGTTGAATCGTCTTACAACAAAACCAGAGATGGTCGACCGTATCGATATTTGAGATGTGATCGGGGACAAAAGAGCAAGCCGAGAGATCGTGAGAACGCAATTCGGAAGGACACAAAAACCAAAGCTAATGGTTGTCCTTTCTATATCAAGATATATTATGAGTTCATCACCGATAGTTGGAAGATCCGGGCAAAAAATGATGCAACTGGGACCCATAACCATCCAATGATTGTGTATCAGGAGTCATCGTAAAATCAGTGGCTTGAGCCCGGATGCGAAGAAGGTTGTGCATAACATGACAAAGTCCAAGGTTGCACCGCGTAACATCATGGCAACTATTACATAGCAATTTCCAGATGATCATCCAAACATCAGACATATTTACAATTGGCGGAATGACTTAAGAACGTAGATGTCTGATGGGAGAGGAGTTGTTCAGCAATTTCTTCATTTGGCGAGACAGAGTCAGTATATTTAATGGGTCATGTCTGATGATCTCGGCGTTCTACAGCATGCGTTTATGGTGCACCCAATCACGGTAAACATACTACGCACGTACCCACATGTGATCGGTATGGATTTGACTTACAAGACCAACCATACGGGATGCCGTTCTTTGAGATAGTTGGTGTGACCCCGACAAATCAGAATTTCCTCGTCGGTTATGTGTTCATGTGCAACGAGTGCACGGCAAGATATCGGTGGGTTTTGCAGAGATTAAGAGAGTTGATTGGGTATGATAAGGAATCGTCGGTATTTTTGACATACCGTGAGCTTGGCCTCTGTGCGGCATTGAGAGCAGTGTTTCCAGGGACGTCGCATTTACTTTGTTGATGGCACATTAACAAAGATGTGGAGGATCGGGTCACTAATATGTTCAAAAACAAGAGGATCGGTGCGAGTTTCAAAAACGGGAAATGGAAACATATCATGGATGCTGCAACCGAGGCGGATTATAATGCTGCTGTAGATACAATGAAAGCTCGGTGGGCAAGTTATCCGGCAGTGATTAGTTATGTTGAGAGAACATGGCTTTGTCATAAAACGAAATTTGTGACATTTTGGACGAACCAAGTTCTTCACTTAGGTAACATGAGTACTTGCAGAGTTGAGAGCCAACATTCGGTCGTGAAGATGTGGTTTGAATCTTCGACAGGTAAGTTGTTATTATGTTGTAGTTGATGTATTTACTTCGTTTTAGTTATTTTAATTATAAATCGTAACGGTTTTTTATAATTTTAATCAACGGCAGGTTCTTTGGATACCGTATGGGCCCGAGTACATTATCATATTGGCAATTAGATCATTGCAATTCGTAATGGTTTGGAGGCGTCTAGGTCGAAGATTGGTGAGAAATATAGACAATTGCCACTGTCACGTATTAACGGCAAGGTGTCTCAGCATTGTTTGAAAGTTCTCGATGACAAGACGAGAAGGATGAGGGAGCTGAGTTATCAGGTATATGAGCGTTGTGGATGTGCAATGCGTGTGACCCACGGTTTGACATGTGTTAGCCAGATACATGATTCGCTAGTTGCACAAACAGGCTTGTACATAAGGCAAATTCATCCGTTCTGGAAGACCTTGGTTATCGGTGATGGTGTTGATGTACCGGTTATCGGTAAGTTGTTAACGATCGACCGAGGAAACTGCACATTTTCATTCCCTGGTTGATGAGGTCATTGGTAGTAATCCTGCTGTACTTCGAAATGTATCTCGCATCATTGAGGAGGAGCTGCATCCGGATCATTCAAACCTTGAAGATCCACATGTAAACCACAACGTTTGAGGTCGACCAAGGAACAATGATACAAGACGAGATCCTTGTTATTTCGAACATGTCAACCGTCGAAACACTCAACGTAGTGCATAGCAAACAGGTACGATTGGCTATTGTGATTTAAACGTATTTCATCTTGTAGCGTGTTAATAACTGAACATTAATTTTGTGCAAAAGCAGAAGATCCATGTGACATCCGCCACCTTGACCTCAAAGCGTCTGGAGCTTGCTTGTCTCTACAAGCGTAGGTGTTTGCACTTGCTTCAAGGACCGATGTTGCCTTACATCACGGCATGGAAGGATGTCATTGGTGATGGTAGTTGTAGCTTTCGTTGTGTGGCCGACTTCTTCTTCGATGATCAAGCGCAATGGTTTGACGCTCGGGAAATAATAGCAAACGAGGTCGCCGCTCATCCATTCCTGTACGAAAGGATTTACGGGATTGGAAGGGTTCGGATGAATGTGGAACGTATTCGATCGGATGGTGGGGCTGTTGATTCACGGCATTGGATGGTTGCAATTCAAGATTTATTTCCTATTGCTACTTGGTTCAACGCAAGGATTATTATTCTTGGTGTAGGCACTGTACCAACCTGCTACTACCCATGCCTCACGATCTTACCGTTACAAGCACGAAACACGATCAGGGCACCCGCCCGAGAGTTTGTGATCAATACAGTTGGGGGGTCACATTTCATCCGTATTAACCTTGCAGAAAATTCACCTCTTCCATTGATTGCAGGATGGTGGACCAAGCACCATGAGCCAAGTGTTGACGGATGGGATCAACAATATGAAGTTAGAAAGAACATGTGGGATGCATTAATTGGGCAGTGAACTCATTTATGTACTTTCACTTAGGTTGAACAGTTGTAGCTATGTAATATAAATCAATAAAAGTAATTAAACAAAGTTTCAACAAAACCAAATATTAAATAAGTCTCCAGTTCTTAAATTACATCCCGAATACAAAGTAGTGTAAAACAATGACTATCACCTAATATAAAACTAAAAGACAAGTAATTCACAACCCCATCATCGCCTTCCAGTCAACTATCAGCTGCTCAGTCATTGCCCTTGTTTCACATGACATGCTGGGATACTCATCCAGTGCTCTTTGGTGAATCTCCATGGACTGACCCATCAACTGCAAATAAGAGAACAACATATTAATTATAGAATTACAATTTGTTTAAGTGGTATTTATAGTATAATAAAACAAAAATACTTACATAGTCCGTGTTAGTCCTCTCAGGTAGTCTGGTACTCCCATCTGATGACCCACCAGGAGAAAGACGAGCATGAAAAAATCGGTACAGCCACTGCATGTAACCAAGAGCGACCAGAGGAGCTCCACCACCAAGTCTGGCGAGGGCACCTAAAACAACACTGAAAGACGAACCAGGGACAAACCGAGTCCACATCAAAGATGTCATCTCGGTCGAAAAGTCTACCCGATACATCTTCAAGTTCGTCGGTCTCTTGGCCTTCTCAGGCCTGACAATGGTCCTTAGAATGTCCTGCACAAATCCAAGTTGTCAGACCACTCGATCAGGCATGTATGGCTCAATGATGCTACGGTACTGGATGCAGCCAATAAATAGAGTGGCTGGCACGCGTCGTGCAAGATCAACTCCGTACGATAGCCAGTTAACCTCATTATCAGTCAGCTGATCCAATCTAGCACGAAAAGCGAGGAAGCGCTCCATGCTCTTGTTGGGGCATCCCGATTCCACATCCCAGGCAGACGCACGAGGAATACTAAGCTCCCTCGTCAAGGCACCCTGTTGAGGCCAAAAGCACGGAAAGTACTCGTGGATCCACGCCTGCAAAAGCGTGAGACAACCTGCGATTGAATCGACATCTTTTCTTGATGCCGTACCCAGCTGGCGATATAGATATGCTAGAGCAACTGAACCCCAAGAGAACTCATTGATCGGAAGATCATCAACAACAAGATCGTTGAGGAAGGACAGATGAATACAGTTACCACTCTTGTCCAAAAACAGACATCCGCCTAGTACTAACCACATGTAGGCACTGTAATGGACACTTCCAAAGTCGAGCCCATAATCCTCTCGGTCAGCACCCCACTACCCTGCCAAATGATTTTCGTACCGCACTTCTCATTCAGCTCTTTCGCAGTCATGTCCATGGAACCATAAACACGAAGCCCAAGAATATGGTACACATCGTGCATCATGATCGTGATCTCCCCAAATGGCATATGAAACGTCTTCGTATATGGTTGCCATCTCTCAACAAAAGCAGAAATCAACGGTCAGTCAAAACGCCTAAACATGATCCCGGGTAAGTGAGACAGACCACTACCATCAATCAATTCCAGGTGCTCCTGTGCAAGACGACCTCGCCAGGTAACCAATTCAGTACACAATTGTGTCCTGCTCAAACAGCGCAAAACATTACGCTCCTGCCCGCCCCATATATATGCAGCCACGTGACCACCAAAACTAGGGATAACAGTACCATCCTCAGGACCACCTGGCATCGGCTGCTGCACTACCCACGTCTCTGCTGAGCTGGTGGAAGGCTGACTCGCTTGACTACTACTAACAAATCTTCCATGCTAACCCCTATACACCGTATGATAATCCTGAGGGTCATACTCTTCATCTCGATCAGCCTGACTTGCCCGCTCTTCGTTCTCATTGTCAAATGTAGGCACTCCACCCGACGAGTACATGGGGAGGCTCCGTTATGACTGATGCTCCCCTGACCAATTACCAGGAGACCCATATTGCTTCTCATGATGAAACGATGCCCCCGTATTTACAGAACGACCCGACTCCCTCCTAACAGACGCATTCAAACGTCTTGATATTGCATGACGAGCACCCGAACCCTCAATCTACATTAAATAAGTACAAAATCAAATATCAGTAATAATTACAAATATAACTATAATATTAAAGTTGATCAACTAATATTCAAATTCGAAAAAATAATTTCAAAAAAAAAAAAAAACCAAATAATAATACAAAACAACACACTACTAACAACATTACAAAACAACAACAACAACAACAACAACAACAACAACAACAACAACAACAACAACAACAACAATAATGGTAATAATACTAATAACAACAACAATAATAATAATATTCCCAAAAACGATAATAATAATAACAACAATAATTATAATAATAGTAATATTGCTACTAATAATAACAATCCTAATACTAATAACATTACTAATAATAATAATTTTAATCATAACAATAATAACAATATTAATACTAATAACATATTTACAATAGTAACAATATTAATAACAATAACAACAACAACAACAATAATAATAATAATAATAATAATTATTATTATTATTATTATTATTATTATAAACCACAAATTAAATTTCGCAACACACTACTAACAACATTACAAAACAACAACAACAATAATGGTAATAATACTAATAACAACAACAATAATAATATATTCCCAACAACGATAATAATAATAACAACAATAATTATAATAATAGTAATATTGCTACTAATAATAACAATCCTAATACTAATAACATTACTAATAATAATAATTTTAATCGGTTATTTAAAAAATATTAATCATGAAAAAAAAATATTAAGCACGAAAAAAAACATAAAATTAATCACGAGAAAAAAAAAAGGGAATAATTTTAATCGGTTATTTAAGAAATATTAATCACCAACAAAAAAAATAATATTAAGCACAAAAAGCAAAAAACAAAAAATTTGAAGAGAAAATTGGGAAATTTTGGGACATCCGCCTGAAATTTCCGGATGTCCCAAGGAACATCCGGAAATTTCAGGCGGATGTCCCAAAATTTTCGAAACTTTTTTTTTCGGATTAACGAACAAATTCCGCCACGTACTTGCTCGCCGCCGCCACGACCGCCGTAAGTCAACCTGATTCGCCGCCGGTCCGTCATTGCTACCCTCCTTGGATTGGTGGTGGTTGTTGGTGTTTTTCTTTTTAATTTTCTGTTTTTTTTTATTTGGATTTTCAGATTTTTTTTTTCCCAAAATTTCTGATTTTTTAATTTTTGGAGAGAATTTGAAATTTTAGAGAGAGAAAATCTTAGAGAGGGAAGTACGAGCGTGAAATGTATTGTACGTGTCGTGAGTGAGTGTCGTGAATATTTATATATGAGGGGTGAAAAAAAAATGCGATCGACCCCTTGTAATTTGGGAGCGACATTTAACAAGGGATAGGATCATAGGAGAGGAGGAATAAGGATAAAAGATGAGAAATTTGACTAGTCTTTTATTTGTTTAAAGAAATGGGGTTACGGAGGGGGTTAGTGGGATAGAAAAGGGAGTTATCACTCTCAAATACTTCCTCCGTTTTTTTTTATTTGGCTTATTTCTTTTATCACGTTTGTCAATGCAAAACTTTAACGATTAATAACTTTAATTTTCTATAAGTAAAAATTATAAAAGTTATATATATTATGATAGTACTTATTGAGACGAATTCAAAATGATCTCACATGCATATGTTTTTCCTTACATATTATTCACAAAAGACGGTCAAGGAAAGTTGGCGAGTAGTGTAAAAATCAAAGCGGGTCAAGTAAAAAAAGCGGAGGAAGTAATAACTAAGGGGGTGATATATAGGGATGTGGATTAATTTAAATGGGTAAAAGACATTTCTACCCTTGCTGAAAGAGAAAGGAGAGGTGAGTGAAGAAAAGATAGTAAGGGGTAGTTATATATTTTTATTAGTTATTTCAATTTAATCTCAACGCATACCAAACAATGAAATACTATCTCCGTTTCATATTTTTTGCAACTTTTGCCAAAAATGGATGCTACACATTATTTGCAAGTAAAGTTTTCTTTCCCTTTTAGGTTGTCATTTCTCTTTATCTCTCTCCTCATCACATGCATTCCTATTTTTCTCTCTCTATCTTACACTCACAAACAAATTTTGCCTAAGGGTCCGTACAACCTTCAAAGTTGCAAAAAATGTAAAATAGAGATAATATATCATTTATATCCTTATCCCACCTATTAATTCCACCTTATCCCACGTTTTTATCCAATATAAGTTATAACCCCATCCATCATATCAAACAGCCCGAAATAGTATACGCATATCGCCATAACTGAATCAATAGGTTAAAAAACTACAAATAGAAGACCTCAAGTCATAGGGAATAATTAGTGTTGATGTTTCCAGTTAAAAAATACTCAGACAATACACCAAAACCAATAAATACCAAAAAAAGGTACTCGTAGTAAAACATATATCTAAGCTTCATAAATCCTCCCATCAGCAGCAAAAAGATGTAAGGTGATGGTACATTATAAAAAAAATACCACTGTATTGCAAGAAGATTGTGGACCGACAGCCACCAGGTGCACCATACATGCAGCAACTATGAAGTGATCAAATACAAGATACAACATATTTGAAGTATATATTAAGAATAAAAAAACTAGCCTGTTACATCTTCAAGAGAAATTCTGCATGTACAACTACAATGAGAATATACATACTCATTACAAAACTGCCACAGTTCCACAGATGCATCTGGAATCTCTTTGTTGCGAGACCAAAATCAAAATCACTTTCTATTTGGTTTATGTGCGATAATAAAGACTGTTATAAGGGAATATACAGGATGCTTTTACAATGTTCTCATTACCAATACTCCTAGGTGACATTGTCATTGGTAATATGTGCCACTATGTACAGAATCCGGCAGGACAGACAGCAGTTTCAACATACTCAGAAAAGTCTCGAGTTTCCATTGCCTTGTGTCATCACACAGTCCCCAAAACATTTGTGGACCAGGAAGGCTTATTGTGCAGAATAATATCCAATATCACATCTGAAGAAGGTTATTAACAGTCACAGCGACAGAGTTTGTTTGTTGCAGGTCCTGGCATATTTACAAAAGGGTTAGGCAACTGTCAAAAGAGTAAGTGTGCAATATTGACCTATAATTTCTGTCCATGGCTACTTCGGTCAAGTGATGACATAGAAGCAGTGCAAGCTTGGATCCCCACCCTATAGCTGGCTTTTAATGGGGAGCTAGGAAAGGGGTGGATCAGATTGTAGCCAACATTGGTGTTTCAGATTGGTATCCTAATCAACGTGTCTACTATTTGGAATCATTTTTACCCTCCTAAAACAATTTACCACAGATATAGTAACATAATTTTCTTAAACCTGTTATAAATATAGACATTAGATTCCTATAAATTACAAACAAATTTTCAAAAAGACCTTTTCAGCTTCCAAACTACAAGAATGTCTTGGTGGAAGTACCCTTTATCTTCCAAATTTTCATGGACTCATGAAGAAAAGGACTCTGAGAGACAGATATGAGCACATGGAAAAGTATACAGACAAAAACAATCAAATCTTGTGAAGTAATCCAGATCATTATTTATATTAACCCTATTGATAGAGGTCCCTTATTTACTCCCTAGGGAATTTCTAACCAGTAACAAATTCCATCTGTATCCTAAATTGCCATCACTGGATTTCAGCAAGGTAGAAAAAGTTCATCCTTTCCTGACATAGTAGCCAAATATCATTGAATTTGGAGCTCCCCAAAATAACCCCACCTACAATGGAGGGAGAATGAGAATGGCACAACTTGGGTAATTACAACCAAGATTCCTTAACTGTGCAGGGCTTTACAAAAATGAAAAATTCTAATTCTCCTATTCATTATATAAATTTTTTACAACAATAAACATTACTCAAGGAAATGAGTAATCATATTTTAAGAGGTCCTTGTAATTTGTATAATTACTATTTTATCAACAAAATTAGTAGTTTATACCAACTGGAAAATTTATACTAGGTTGAATTTCTCTTACCCTTGAGAACAAAAAACATCCTTTCTGCTTTCAGGTGATCTACCCCTACATACACATTATTTCACATCCAAGAGCTGCTAACTAAAATAGCGATAGGAAACACCTATCAGCTAAGCTTATTTTAAGGACAGTGTATTCACACAAGGCAAATCTCCACTAGGAGTCTTGCTACTAGCATAATCCCACCTTGTTTGTTTAATACACAGGAAGATAGGTGGTCGTATTCTGAAATAAGGTTCTGGCCCTTCAGAGTGATACTGTTCATTGGCTTAAATAATTATTTGACAGATATACTAGATGCCCACAAGCCAGTGTTTTGACCTCACAAAAGTCATAATGTCATAACTAAACAAAAATGTAAGAAACACAAGAAATCTCCAGCTTGGTGCAACTGTGCAAGGGATTAACATTTTATCAGCAATTATCAACTTTCAACTATACCCAAAGTTTCCAAACCTAGGATCATGTCCTGTTCACACTGCTGCCTAGGTTCTATAACCCCCCCCCCCCTCTCTTTGAAAAAATATCTTAAACAGAATGCGAATTCAATCTCATTATGATAGTAGGGCACTAGTAAGGTGGCAGGCTTTCAAATTTAATTAAAAAGCTAGGGATTTATCTTGTTCAAAATTGTTTATGGATATGGCATCCTTGGGGCATTCATGTATTATTATCTACAGGGGATAAAAATTATATACAGAGGCAAACTGAACTGCCAGATATGACTGAAGAAATCTTACCCAAAGCGTAACCCATAAAAGGATCCGCATTTACAACCAGAATTGTCAAAAGGATTGGTTAGGTCAATGATTTCATGTTCAGGCAAGTCAGTTTCAGCTTAATTTTTGGTCAAAACCATTTTTCAGTTGTCCAACTTCTACAACAGTTTTCTGTATTACATGTCAAAAAGTGTTCAACACAACATAAATTTTGGGTGGGCTCAGGTTGTATCAGCTTTCAGCTTTGCCAGGTCTCGATTTACAAGTATTAGCAAAGATAATGATAGTACATACATACATTAAGTGAGTTTATACCTGGAAAATCATTTCATCAGGGATGTGAGGAAGCACCTCCCTTACAGTTTCTGCCATGGCAAGTAAGTTTGCAATGCTGTCGTTAGCAGGACGGGAGGCAGTCCTCCTATGTGCAGTAACAGTTGTTGCAGGGTATCTGTGTGCAGCAGGGGGAAATGCTGTACTGGATGTTGTTGCTTGAGAAGAGTTTGTTGGCCAAAGGCTCCACGAAGTATCTTCAAGAGCAGTCTGGGCATAGTTTTCTCCAACAGAAGCAAGGTGTCGCATCATCATCTGGACCCTCCCCAACCCAGCAGACCTAATGGCAGTTGATGGGCCAGCTCCATCAAGACCCTGACTTGGCCAAGGCTGTAACCAACTTGAATCTGCTCCTGCTCCTCTACACCAAAAAGAAGACATATTTTTAGAAAAATGGTGGTAATAAAAGTTGTTAGATGAGATTTAAGATTTCAATGCTAGTGGTAAAGTCTTCTTCTATTTTCTTCTATATCTATATTTTTCTTTTAGGTAAGGAGGCCAGAGGTTAGAGATTGTTACATTATGAAAAAGCAAGAATAAGAAAAGAAATGTGCACTACTTGCAATGCAATTTTTTGCTGCATTCATGCATATCCATGCTACAGAGCAAATGTGGCGGCCTTACGACCATGGAGCTTCTAGCCGACAAAACAAGGTATATTGCACATTAGACCCACTACGTAGAAAAACATGGCTCCCAAAAATGGAGATATAGAATCCAACAATATGTTAACAGAATCTTAAAGTTAATCTTAAAAGGTCATGCATATTGCAAAGAAATTAAAGAACAAAACAAAGAGCTGTGAAAATCAAACCTCCAAGTATTAACTTCCGGAGAATTTTGGTTTTGGTTAGGGAAAACTCCTCCACCTCCAGCATTCACCAGATCAACTCCTGAGCTTAGTTGACGAGCAAGCTGCTCATCACTTGAAACTACTCTAGTATGAGAGCTTGCCTCACTTTCAGATCTTCCAACAAAAAGGGGTTTCCGACAGGTAGGACATGAATAGACCTCATTAAGTCCTTGATCCAACCTAGTATAAAAGAATCACTTTCAGCTCCAACATCAAACTTTACTAGGCGTTAAAAAGGAGAGTAAAATGAGTCTACAAGCCTGGCAATAAACATACCAAGATCTCAAACAAGCAAGATGGAAAAGGTGATTGCAAGGAAGCCTTTTAGCCTTTGCCATTGGTTCCTGTTGATATCCAACGAAGACCATAATATCATTAAACACTAGCGATAAAGAAGTTCAAACAACTATAAAGTCACAAACAAGTGAAACAAGAAGATGTAGTATGAATGAGAGAGATACTCAATAGGCAAAAGGGGGAAAATATAGTGAAAGAGGCACTTGCCCTACAGATGGCACATTCATCATCATATGCTTGTATTTCCTTTGTTGTCGCATCAGGAAGTGCCTCGTGAAGTGCACCTAAAGCTATCTTTAATTTGACAAATCCTTTAATACGCTTTACAACTGCACTTAGTAAAGCCTGCAAGCAGCATAGAAAAAAATTATGACGAGTCATGCACTAAAATTTAAAGTGAGCCATCAAGGACTGATCAAGCACATACACGAATGTTCAGGAAAAGGATTGCATCTACAAGATGGAATGTCATGCCATGGAGCCACCAAATTAGCACATAATGACCAAGGGCCATTAAAAGTGTCATCATATCGAGGAAAAACCCCATATTTCGAACAACATTGCTTTTCCATTCCCACAAAGAACCTGCAGGAGTTCTCTCATTTAAATAAAAACAAAGCTACAAATATACAATGATGACTTCGCAAAAAATCATGGAATACAACATACCACAGAGAAACCTTGCTTAAAAGCCAAGATTTAACTAGATAATATTAAATAAATAAATAAAAAATAAAAAGAAACCTATATTTCCAAAGTTTACCAACTTGTATTTGTAGTGAGAGCACTGCTTAGTCAATTTCCAAAATCTTACAACAGAGATTAATCCAACTTCCAGTAAAAGACCAGATCTATGTCTGGCTAAGTGATGTCCCGAGATAGAAGTTGACCCTAAAATCGAAACTCCTTCCACTTTACATAATTCATGCAAACCCACACCTCTTTACATATGGTACCCTCCAAAAAATAGACTAGCTAATAGATTTGTGCCATGCCCAAGCACAATTTGACAAATTCAATATTATGATTGATTGATACTACGTAATTAAGTCTTGTGAATACTTGTCCACCTACTTTTAAAACAAATAACAACCTAATGATCAGTCTTTATAATGTTGATTATTTCAATTTTATTTTATGTAAAGAACTCTACAATTTTCCTTATCTTTTATATACAATTTAATCCTTAGAATATTTTACCCAATGGATCTGATTCATTAAGGCATATATCAGAAAGTAGGTATTGTTCAATTTACATTAGAAATATAAACAAATAATATAGAAATAAAAAACTGAAAATATGTAATCACATGCATATAAAAGGCTATTTTTTAGACACAAACTCTAGTTGCAAATTGATCCTAATCTTTTTAAATCTATTTTAACGTTCCAAGTTCCAACAGTTAATTTATCCATTTACTTTATATCAAATTGCAATTACATAGTAGATTTAGGTGGTGCACACTATACTACAAAATAGTTCCTTGTTCTATTTATGGTCTCTCTTCAATTTGTCGTTACTACTAGCTCTTCCACTCTCTCATCAAATCAGATATTTCAAACCACACATATAAAAACTAACCCTTTCACCACCCAGATCAACACCATACATGAAAAATATTGTCAGTAGAGGCTTCTATGGAAGAAGTAATAATACCTGCAGTTGTATCAAAAAACTTTGATCTTTGGGAATCAGAAGTCTCTGCAGCAGAATGGTGGAGCCAAATATCCATTAGCTGAAATCCATGTACCACAATAGCCTGAAGAAATGTATATCATGCAACACAAACTTGTGAATAAGTGTCATGCTTTATGAAAGTTGAATAAATAGATAAATTTGAATTACAGAAACATCATACCTGCAGTGTCTCAAAAGCTATGCTGAGGGGCTCAAAGAATAACAACCAATAAGTGGACGAAACCAGAGGTCCAGATACAGCCGCACAAAACCATATCCTATAAAACATACATGACACTTAGAGACAAGATTTTCCTAAATTTAAAGATATAATCATTTCTACAGAAAAGATCACATGGCAAACTAATATACATTACAGTATAATGATAGTCTTTGAAACAATACACCCCATGGATTCAGCAGTTATGCCTACACTACAGATGACATGTGGTCATCAGCTCCATAATATAATTTTCAGGACACTGAATCATGTTATCTTGAATAGATGCACACCAGATGCATACAGAACTACTAGACAAATCTCGTTAATTGACCCTGAAAGCATCAACATAGAAAGGGGATTTCTCGTTATTATGAAAAATGACGGCTTTTGAATGAGCAAAAGCATCACCATATAAAAATGAATTTAGGCGTGCAGGGGATAGTATACCTTAAGAGGATTCGGAAAATACAATTCTAGTCAAAGAGAATCATTGCAACAAAGAAAAAAGCTATTCGATAACCTATACAGAGAAGAAAGGTGAAGGTTGGTTGCACATTGGACCCAGGATAAAACTACCCCCCACTTCATCCTCTCATCCCAAAAAATTCAATAGTGTATAATAATACTTAGAACAATGACTGAATACTATAAATGGTTCTGTAACAACTCTATGCATTTAAAAGCTGCAAACTGAATGACCTCTTAAAAAGGTCTGGAATTTCTTTGGCAAATAGATGAACCTATTTATCTCAGGGCTGCTCATGAGGCAAACTTTAAACAAGTTTTTAAAGCTGTAAGTAGTTCCATGATACGATTTGGATTGCTATCGTTTATAATTAGTAACATCAAACGTAGGAAGATAACATATAAATGAACTATAACAAGACATATGAAATTGGCAAAAAAAAAATAAAATAAAATAAACTCCCCCTCCCCACCCCCAAAAAAAGAAAAAAAATTATAAATATAAGTAAAATAACCTTGACATTGACTACATAAATGACAATAATTGTGGCTCCATCTCAAAGCAATAGTTATTTATGAAGAAAATATTTGTTTTAACATGTGGGGAGAGAACCACCAGGTACGCTTATTTTCTCAATAGTTTGTCAAGCAAAGAACGCCATATCAAAAGTTCAGTAACAACAAAATAAGATATAGGGCATATCAGAATCCACAACGCTAGAGATAGAAAGTCAAGAAGTACCATAGACAGTCAAAGGCCAAAACTAGCAATAGTGCTGAATATACACGGAAATATGTCCAAAGTGTAGCAGAAGGAGATGCATTCAAACGTTCAAGACGATCTCTTGCCAAAGCTTGAAACATCTACATAAGAGCCAAAGAAAGTCAAATACAATCAGAAGAAACAATTAACACCCAGATAAAGTAGATAGATTGATGAAAGTATTTGACAAACCTTCAGGAAACAAAGGACGGTCAACCATGTCATCCACAGGGTGGCTTGAATTATTGCTGGAGGAATGATTAATGGAAGAAATGTTCCCTGGAATCATTAAAAAAATAAATCACAAGGGAATAATGGGAATTGGCAGCAAAGATTCAAGGATCAATAGCTCTTTTTACTACAAAAAAATTCCATTAATGTACTTCAAAAGAAGCAGTGGGATTAATGATGTTTGGAAAAAGGTCTTTCACCAACCATGTTTTCATGCTACACAAAATTTTGACCAATGACAAGGATGTAAACCTCTGATAATCAAAGTAACCAACTCTTCAAGAAGAGATACATTTTTTTTAGCTAAAGGAACAAATAACAAATATGACATAGACACTTAAAGTCTTACAGAAAAGCAATTAGCCAATCAAGTACGACTTGTTTGTGCCCTACTTGTTTTTACAGATTCAGTGGATTTCAGCTTTCCAGATAAATTTTATTAAGTATATTAAAGCCTTTAGCATAGCAGCAGCTATATATTACAATGCCGCCAAGTCAAATTAAATGCAAGGCCATCCTTAAGGTCATGGCAAGTCTTAAAGACCCTTGACAAATTACTAGACTTGGTGGCAAAGTGACCATGACTCCAAAATTATCTGTACTTGCCTTTTCCTCTAAACTTTAGCTGTTTAGATTTTTCTTTTAGCAGAATTATATACGAACACTCTTTGACTCGTCTCCCTCCATTAAACAACCCCCCAAACCTTTGTCACAAAAGGCTAAAATAGCAATTAAAATCGCTGATAGTGACAGTGAACAGTTCAACTAATAGCTCAACTGTAGTATTACCTTGTAGATAACATAATTGACCAGCCTTTCCACTAACTTTCGTGTTTCAGGGGCATATAGTTCTCCAAAAAATATAGTCTGCAGAGAGAGAGATGGAAAAAAGCATTATATAATCAGCCAGATCCAACGGATGATGAAAGCATTATATAATCAGCCAGATCTAACCAGACAGCATAGTGGCATGGCCTCAAATATGCTATATAAGGATATTACATTGGGTGAGCCACTTTCAATCTTTTACCCCCCTAGGCACATCCAAATGTATGTTTTTACATTAGTCGTAAGAAAAGCACATGCTCAATGTATTCACTCTATCTAATCTAGTCACTTAAATAGCTTGATACCTTCTGCTCAAAGTGATTTTCACAAGTAATGGTGGGTTTATCAGCATGAATACATGTGTCTCATTTAGTCATTTGTTTGGTCTAGAGGTTTCGCTAAATATAAGATCTAGAAAATTGATTTGACAAAAAAAACAAGATGACACGAGAGATGTGACACCATAAGAGATGAATTTAGAAATCATGGCTTTTGCTCAGAAATACTAGGCTCTTAAGTAATTCTTCAATCAAAATCAATCAATCAAAGCCTTAATTCCATAATTGGAGTTGGCTACATGTACCAAAAGTGATCATTCCGATACAGAAAATAAAATTGGTAATAATGACTCTTGGAGTCCTAGTTCTCTCATAATCACAATAGGTGTTTCGTATATCTTGGCAAATTTTCAAGTGAGACAGGTAGTAAATTAAAATGGCTTTAGTCACCCCATATTCCTTTAAAAGCTGCCTCATTTTCATCATATCCTATTTAATGTCACCATGTCTCAACTCTCACCATACATAGTTAATACATTTGTATAGCTTGTAAACCTTTAAGTGTGGTGTAGATTTGTAGCATGTCAATCAAAATTTTAATATTACCATGTCACAACCTTAGTTTGTATGCCACCAAAAATTTGACCACACACCTTTGATCTACATGTCTTGTTAAGGGAAATTAGTCATAAAAGGGAAAATATAATTCTCTATCTTAGACCAAACTAGATGTGTACTTATACATTATACCCCTCCAAAGGTCAAGTCAGTACATCAGTTTACAAGTATCAAAAAACCAATCAAATTATTTCATGTGGTGGATGCTGTGAATCTGTGATATGCCATTTCACAAAGAAGATAGATTTAGGGGGGTTTTGGTTCAATAAAGGATTAAAGGGAGAGGGAATGAGCTTAAGAAAGCGAAACAAGGTGAATAGAAACAAAAAAAAATCCCTACATTGTCATAGTTGTTTGTTTTAAATAACAAAAGGAAATCCTACAAGTCACTAACAACCATTTCCCTTCCTTTCAACCACATCCTAATGCCAGCGCCCCTTCCCTCCCGAAGTTTCCGCCTCAGACGGCGCACCCCCCTAGTGCCGTCACCGCTACTCCTTTATTCTCTCTCTATTTCTTTTTGAAAAATCTTCTAGATCTAGTTGCTTGGTGGTTGTTTTTGGATGGTTGGGTAATCTTCTTACAATTAGGGTTGTTTTTTAGGATGAATAGGTACTTTTCGGGGTGGATGAAGTCATTTTTCATGGTGGTGGGGCTAATTTCGGGTGTGTGCGGTGGTTAGGGTGGCTTTGCGCTGGGTGAGGGGTTGAATTTCGAATAGTTAGAGTTAGGACGTAGTGGTGGTGGTGGTGAGTTCAGTCTAGGAATGTTGGACTGTGGTGGGTTCGGCCTAGGTGGTGGTGGTGGTGGTGGTGGTGTTGGATCCGATCTAGGATGGAAAGTGGTGGTCAGAGTTGTGGTGGGTCCGGTATAGGATGGTGGTGGTAAACTGGTAATGGTGGTGTTGATAGTACTGTAGGAAGCTTGAGGAAAAGGAATAGAAAAACCTTTTTTTTTTTTTGTGTGTGGGGGAGAGGGGGGATCAAAGTAGAAGACATTAGGGGAATGAAGAGGGTAAAGGGAATGATTGAAATGTCCTACCAAACAACAAGTAAGGGGATGAGCCAATTTGATTCCCTTACCCTTTGTTAAAGGCCAAACGCCCCCTTAACTTAGCAAAAACCATGAATATTCAAGTTTCTATGCTTAAATGAGCAAAAATAATCCCCCCAAACCCATCTCCATACAAATCGAACTTCTCTGATAAGTTAACTGGTATATTATAGAACCATTAAACCATACAATATGTTACTCCATTAGACAACATCTAAGAATATTGGTGTAATACATATTGTGTCTTTCGAAAATATGAATCATAAAGATATACTGTACTATAAAAGCTATGGTTGACTAAGAAAATTTCAGCAGAAAACACAAATCAGTTCCTTAATCTTCCAAGATCAGGAGATATCACAAGTGCACATTTCAAAATGTGACAACATTATGCAAAATGCCATAAATCAGTCAATCCCACAAAACAAAACTAAAGAAATATAGTGCAATGAGATTAGTTTACCTTAATACTCAAAATAAATAGCACAAATGCATTGATCAAACATAGTGCCAGCAACGTAATGGTGGCATGAGAACGCAACAGGAGCTCGATTATATGACTAGCATTCTCTGAGTAAAGGGTATCGCTGCCAATAAGTCCATCCACCTTGAATTTTTCGAGCGATATTTCTGTCCAGCACTGCAGACCTATCATGCTGACCACAGTACATGCCGCCGAAATTGCTAGATAGCGAGCACCCATTGCTAGCAATTACTTTATTATCTTGAATATAACAGAACTCCCCCAATTTCATCAGAACAACATCAACATAACTCTTTACTCTGCTTAATTATCCACCAAGTCTTTGTTAACAGAAACTGATACTAACAAGCAATAACACTTGTTGATTCCAATTTCGACGATTTTAATCAGCAAAGGACTATCCTATTATCCTGCAACACATAATGAGAGCCAAATACACAAGAGATTAGGGTATAATCTGCTAATAATCCTTTTAAATTTCACTGACATTTTAAATTCTACCGTATGCTTATTCATTCTCTTTCATCCAGCTCAAAATCACAAATTCACCACTAAATGTAAATAAACAGCTAAAGAATTCAAACATGCACAAATGCACATCAACAGAATTTAAGCAACTGTAACTTCTACAAAACATAATTTCACTTTTCTGAAAAAAAAAAAAAAAAAAATTGCAATCAGATGTTCAAATTCGCATGAAATTAAACAAAATCATTACCCAAATTTTCGTCAGAACTACAGAAAACTGAAAATCGAGTCAACAATATCACAATTCAATACAAATCAATCTACAATCCAATCAACCAAATTCGACAAAAAATCAGTTCAATAAAATTGAAACAATCGATCTAAAAATTGAACAAACCTTCGATCCAATGGCTAGGTCAAGCCCAAAATCTTGATTTAGGAGAGAGAAAATAAGGATTGATATGAGAGAGAAAGATGAGAGAGATTGGGGACAGCTTTTCGGGGAAAAAGGCAAAAGTGAAATTTTGTTGTTCGAAGTGAAAGGATATTTTAATTATTTTTAATTTTAATTTTTATTAATTTAATATTTTGAAATAATGGGAGTCTATGAATCCGTTGACTGATTAAAACATCGTCGTTTGATACCTGCCTTGCTTATTTGATCTAGAATCTGGTTAAAGTTGACTTTATTTCGCTTATAATCTTAAATACGTCTTTATAATTTGATGGATTTGATATGATTTGAAGTACTATCCAACTAACCTTGCATATATTTTTTTTTTTTTAGCCACTTAATTCAGTAATGATGACGATAAAATATGTTTTATTCGGTAATAAGAACTAATTATGGCAAGATTCAACCAAAAATAGTGATACGATACTTAGTTTTCATTTTAAATCAGCTTAAAACAACCCGTAGCAAACTCGAAAAGATTGCCTTGAATCAAGAAATGCCAACAGTTGACAACTTGGCGCTAACCCAGGCTAAATAGACCTTACCTTACGGTCAACAAACTAAGACCTCTAAAAATATTTTAAAACAAGCATATGCTCTCAATTTAAATGTTTTTATTTACTCATTTACGAGTAAACATTTCAATCTCACTTGTATTAGAGTAGCTTAAATTCTTCTATCCAACAAAACTCGCGTTACTCTATAGGTTTGCAAGGTTGCACACTTGCACAAGAGCGGATATATAATCCAACACTTTTTGGCAGTACTTGTGATCAAATTGGCTGCAATGTTTGATTTCAAAATGGAGGATTCATAACAATCCTTGGATCTAGCAAATATAAAGACCACAACATGATTCAAATGGATGTTGATTGATGAGATCACTCTTACCTCGATCTTAGCCCGATTTAAGTATATTTTAATAATATACAAGTATTTGAAATTGAGCACATACTTCATATTATATATTCGGAGAAGATAATTATACATCCGTTTGTACCTGTAGTATACTATAATGTGCATCTACTATAGAATTTGTGTGGGAATGATTCAAATGAAGAGGAGTTGATTAAACAAAAAGGGTATAATTAAACAAATTGTCATACATAATGAAATTGAATAAATAATGAAGCACAAATAACAGAAATCCAATTATTAACAAACAAAATTTGGAATGACTTGGTAAAGGACTAGAAAAGACCAAACGCCGATCAGTTTTACCAATGGAGCGCTTCCCAGAGAAAAGATGTTTAGGTTTGAGATTAGGAATGACTCTATCTCCTTCTCCCTTACGAGCATCTTTGTTCTTTTTGTTGATAGATTTCCTGGGAAGTTTAATAGCTTTGCGCTTCTGGAGGGAGTCCTTGCGCAGTTTCTTGTTGGATTGCTCAGTATCTGATGACCTCTGCCTCTTCCGACCCCGTGACTTGCTACGAGCTCTGTCCAGTTTTGTTGATTGCCTACCCATTCTCTTGGTTGTAAACTGCCTTTCAGTTATTCTTTGTTCTTTCTCCGCAGCTGCTTCCTTGGCCTTGGCTTCAAGAACTCTTATGCATTCGGAACCACAGTTATTTTCTTTAGATTATACTGCACCATAGTTACAACCTTCTAATCAACCCTGAACAGAAATTTATAATCATATAAATTATGTATGTAATTTAATGAATTTGTCAGTATAAAGTAGAAAAACAATCAAATCATACATGGAAATCGAAAATTTGTTCCAATGGAAACAAACTCAGAAGGTGCTTCAATGGAGAATTCAGAGTACGGTTAAATGGAGGAGAGATAGAGGGGTAAATTAATTGCACGCTGCTTAAACCCAGTCACAGGGTTATGTGTGTTTTAACTTTTAGGGTATGTGGGTAGATTGAAGGAGGGAGATGGACGGCTAGGATGTGTTAAAAAATTTGTGAGTTTGATGTACAAAAAAAATTGTAAATTAAGGGTAGTATGGCCATTTAAGCTGATAAATGGATCATTTTGTCATTTCCTAATAAATGATGGGCAATTTTGTCATTTTATTAAGGGTATTTTCATTTTTACCACCTTCAAATAATGACTTTGTCGAATTTACCACCTCCAAAAAAAAAAACATTTACTTTACCACCTCATAAAAAAATTAAACATCAGTATTACCACCTCATCTGAGCTCAGGTGACGGAAAACGCATGTGGGGCCCAGCATAACGGCTAGTTTTTTATTTTTTCCCAAATTTCTCTCGATTTCCCTTTTATTTAAACCTAGTTCTTCATTTGTACACCAAATTCTTGCAGATTGGAGATTAATTTTTGCGATTTTCTTCACAAATCAGTATTTTTGGGCAACCTTAACAATCCCAAACCCTCTAATTATCAAACAATCAATTGAACTCCTCGACAACAAGCATCAAATAGGTAAGCCATTGTCGTTAATTCTCTAGCAATTTTCGTGATTTCTGTTGTAATTTTTTGGCAATTCGTTGCGTGATTATGTTGCATTTGGTAAGAGTAATTGAAATTGGGCGTTTTGTGAGGTCAATTAAACCCCAATTTGAATTAAAATACTTAGGGTTCATGTAAGATTAAATTAGATTGGGGGTTTTTGTTATGTGAATTGGCTACTGAAATTAGGGTTATATTATGGTGATTGTGTTCAAATACAATTAATTTCATTCTTGTTCTTACTGAATTTCAGAAGGGAATGTCTTCAGTTAGCATGTCACCCTCAAAGGAGAAAAAATGCCAATGTGGAGTTCCAATGTCTAGGCTGAGTGCTTGGACTAGGGAGAACCCAGGACGCAAGTTTAGGACCTGCAAATTCTATGATCCTGTGACTGAGTCAAGGGGGTGTAAAGCTTTTGAGTGGGTGGATCAACCAGATGGAACACCTTGGCAAACAGAGGTGATTAACAACTTGCTGCTGGACAAGAAACTAATGAAGGGAGAGCTGAATGACATGAAGAGGGAAGTTGATGATGTTAGTGGACAAAGGAGGTGCTTGCTCAATGAGATTGACAGCTTGAAGATGAAATGCAAAGCTCTTAGCTCAGACAGGAAGAAGATGATCAAGGAAGTGCATGGCAGCAATGCAACAACAAAGAAAATGCTCACAGTACATGCTATTGTTGTGTTTTGTTGTTTTGGTTTGGTACTGGCTATGTATTTTAGATCTTAGGTTCATTTAGGAATGCTTAGAAACAAAAAAAATCCCCAACTTATGTTGTGTTTTGTTGAATTATTATGTGTGGATGTTGGGATGACATTTCTTGTACTACTTTTAACAACATCAATGAGAAATGGAACTTTTTGGTAGAAACATATCACAATTCGTATTAGTACTTGCAACACAATGTTTGAAATTGTTTTACATTGGCTGAGACAAAAGTTAAGGCACCTTTGTGCAAAATCATTGTTCAACTATCATTGTTCAACTACCAAATAAACTTGGTTGTCTATTACAAAATACTAATGAGTAGACCTAGGGTCACAGTTGATTGAGATCCTTGTCCTTCTTGCTTGTCATTACATGAAGCTTGGACCTGGTCTGTATTTTGACTTTGGGAGGAGTAGTTGTTGGCACTCTTGTGGGCTGACTCAGGCTCCTGTTGCTCCTGGTAACAGGCTGAGTTGGCAAAGGCTCTGTTCTTGTTGCAGGCTGGCTTGACACAGCAGTTGCAGGTGAAGCATTACTTGACCCAGCCTGTGCTGTTGTTGGAGGCTGATATTGTGGCAACTTCAGTGCAGCCTGCAATCACAGTATGACAAGACTCAGAAACAAAGCCACTAAATACACTCAAGTCACAAAATACACAAAATACCTGTCTTGCTGCTTTCTCTTCACTTTTCTTTCTCTGTTCCTTAAGCCAAGGAGTCTGCATCTGTGGCCTCCCACCCTTTGGATTTGTTGCAGGTGGGTTAGGCTGTTCTGGTGCTGCTTCAGCCTTGCATGTTTTGGCAAAGTGGCCAAACCCACCACAATTCTTGCATTGTTTCATCACCTTTGGCTTCTTGCCCTCAGGTGCTGCAGAAGTGCCCTCCCCTGGTTCAAGCTTTCTCTTATTTGCCTTAGGTCTTCCTGGCTGCACTTTCAGCATAGGTGGCAAAGGCTGTCTGAGCTTGACCTTTTCCCAATTCTTAGGGCCAGGCATTGGCTGTATTGGGTTCTCATATGCAGCCAAGTATGTCACCCTATAGTAATGTGGGTGCACATACAACTCAGGATCATCCCTTTTGTCCATTATGCAAGCAAATGCATGGACACAAGGTATTCCTGTCAACTCCCATCTATAACAAGTGCATTTTCTCTCTTGCAGATCCACAATGCACTGATCATCCTTGTATTTCACCTCATAAATTTCATCCCTTGAAGCTGTAACCTCACATGTCATGGCATACTTCTCCAACCCATCAAAGACTTTGTTGACAAATGGGGTTAGTAAACCTTCCCAAGACTTTGCTGCCTCCCATTTGTCATTACTCCTCTTCATCATATATCTTCTAAGCCATTCCATTTGAGTTAGAATAGGCTTGTCTCTGGCATCTCTAATCACTGCATTAAATGTCTCACACATGTTGTTTAACAACATGTTAGACTTGCAGTTTGTAGAGAAAGCATGCCTTGACCAGTGCTGGGGGTCAATGTTTGACAACCACTGGTATGCTTCTTCATCCAAAAAATTGATACTTTCCATAGCAACTTCAAACTCAAACTGATACAACCACACACATGACAACCATTCAACACAACAACAACCATGTGCAAAACTAAATGTTCCTAGCATACATTATAGTTCACCATAAAACTGACATAAAAGAACCTAAATAGAAGCTTACCAGAGTGCTTGCCCTAGCAGCAGCCCAGAACAATTCCTTGAAAGTTGCACCATGAAATTTCAGTTTGAAATTTGACCAAATATGCCTCACACAAAATCTGAGCTCAGCTTTGGGGGCCACATCTGCAAATGCTTCTATGAGACCCTACACACAAGGCAAAACTAACAAGTTAGTGTACAGAAAATTCAAAAGCAAAGTAATTTAAACACAAACACAACCCACTTACTTTCTGTCTGTCAGACATAAAAGTCAAGCCATCTCCTTGGTCATACACACAAAGTGCCTTGAGCAAGCTCTCCAGAAACCAGCACCAGCTGTCCTTGTTCTCAATCTCTGCAGTTGCCCAAGCAATTGGGAAGATGGAATTATTGCCATCTTTTCCAACTGCAACCAAGATCTGCCCAGGGTATGCCCCTTTTAGATGGCACCCATCCACCCCAATTACTGGTCTGCAACCAGAAATGAATCCATCCCTAAGTGCAGCTAAGCACACAAACATCCTCATAAAAATTGGTCTTTCAATTTGATTAATATCATCCACCACCACATTACACTCACTCCCTGGGTTCCATTTCAGCAGTGCCTTCCCATAGTCCCAAACCTTTGAGTATTGCTCTGATGAAGAGCCATATATTATAAGCTTTGCCCTGCTTCTAGCCAACCAAGCCTTGGAGTATGTAATTTTGATCCCCAAGTCATTCAAGGCCCTGTCCTGAATCTGTTTAATCTTCCATCTGGGGTTGCCCCTGAACTCCTCCAAGTACCTGTCAGCAAGGAACTCTGCTGTCACCTTGTTGTTCATTTTACTCCTAACACACCTATGCTTCAGCCTTAGTGTCTTAATTTGCCAAGCCTCTGATTTCACAAGCCTTGTTGCATAAAACTTGAACCTACACCTAACACCCTTACTACATGTACACTTCACTATCCTACAACTGTTCTTGTTATACACACACTTGCATTTCCTTTTGCAATATGCTGTTAGCCTCTTTGAATCATTGTGAAGAAGGTAATACTCATACCTATTTTCAATTGCATGTTGTCTCAAAGCTTTTCTCATTGTTTGCACATCACTGAACCTTTGACCAACTACAAATTTGATAGCCCTTTCAAAGTCTGTCTCAGGGTTAAACCAAGTAACACTACCCTGATCATCATCTGAATCACCTTCCACACTCTTTAGCTCATCAGAATCACAAGCTGCCTCCTCTTCAACCCTCACTTCAATTTTCTGTAGATTTCTTTCTATGTCAAACCCTGTGTCCTCATCATCACTTTGATCCCCTCCTTCACTAACTCCCCTCAAACTGCCTTTCACCTCACTGTTAATATGGTCTAAATTTTTCTTCAACCACTGTTCATCATCATCAGAGTATAAGTCCTCCTCTCCCTCATCAACTTCTAACTCAAAATCACTCAACTCAGAATCAGAAGACTCTGTATCACCATCCTCATCACTAAACACATCACTGTCATCCCTTAAGCTCCTCACTCTTTCTTTTATTTTTCTCACTAAATTAGCTAAATTTCCAGTCTCATCCCCAACCTTAGCCTTACCCTTATCTGCAGCAGTGAGTTTACCCTTCCCTTTATGTGTATTAGCATTCACTTTCTCTGCCCTAGGAAGCCTCTCCTCAGCCTCTCTGTCATGTATAACAATGCCTTTTAACCTAGGGCTTCTCCTAAATGGCTCTTCTTCAGTGGGCTTACTAAGTTCTGGGCTGGGTTTATATACTTTAGGCCCACCAAACCTCTTTTTCAGTTCCTTCCTTTGTGCAGGGGTTAGCTCATTCCCAGCTATACATTTGAAGGGTGTTTTGTTAGTCCCTTCAATTGGCTCATGACTGGTAACATACATCTCACATGCCCCCTCTTTGTTCACAGACTCTAGGAAACCATTCACCTCACCATCAACAAGCTCCCTTTTACCATTCACCCAAGACTTGCCCTTTTGTTTATACCAGCAACTAAACCCCCTAGGAACCTTCACATTCACATACACAAACCCATGTATAGCTGCTTGCCTCAAAAAGTGTACATCTATCTTATTTTTTTCCACTTTTCTCATCCAATAAACCCACCCACCATCCCAAGTTAACACCCTTCTATTTTTACCAGCTAAAGAAGGTATAAAGGCACCCCCTACTGTAATTTTTAAGTCCACTGTGTCCATTCTGTAACAACACCAACAAAAGCACACACAACAATAACCAATTTCAGTAATTACAGTAAACAACAACAACCAATTCACCAATTACAGCAAGTAAAAGCAATTCACATTGACTATGCACTAAATTAACAGTAAACAAGTAAATCTAATTAACTAATTATTTAACAAATGCACACTCTAATTCAGTCAAATATTCGCATAATTAGGGTTTATAATACTTTAATTCACAGATTCCCAAAAAAGGCATACTTTACCCCAATTGACAACCATAAATCCAACGAAATGTACTAATAAAGGGTTTAAAGTACCTCTTGTAGTCAGGAATCTCGATTTCTGTCAGCAAATTACCAAGCTTTTGGTCCCCTCACCCTGTGGAAGATGACAAGAGAAGCTGATGTGTTGCAATTTTGTGGTTCCAGCTCGATTTCAACCACCCAAATTGATCTAGGGTTTCAGTTTTTACAGAGAGAAAGAGAAAAATCAAAGGAGAGAGAAGCAGTTACAGTGAGAATCAAGAAAAATCAAAGGAGAGAGAGACGAAAATTGATGAGGAAGTGAGAAATTTGGTGAGACATTGATTATGGAAGGTGGAAGGTGAGAAAAGGAGGAGACAGAGGGAAATCGATTTTAAAAGAATTAAATTGGAGGGAAGTGACAGTTAACTGGGCCCCACATGCGTTTTCCGTCACCTGAGCTCAGATGAGGTGGTAATACTGATGTTTAATTTTTTTATGAGGTGGTAAAGTAAATGTTTTTTTTTTTGGAGGTGGTAAATTCGACAAAGTCATTATTTGAAGGTGGTAAAAATGAAAATACCCTTTTATTAATATATAAGGTGGCAGATGTTCCTTGTCAGTATTCCTCCGTTTCTGCAATACTCCCTCCGTCCCTTATTTATTGCCCCATTGCAAATATATGGGTCAAACTTTTAAAACTTTAACCATGAATTCTCGTTAATTTATAAGTGATAATATATTCAAATGGATCTTGTTAGAATCGTCTTATTATATATTTTATTAATATCAAGTATTTATAGTTTTTACGTGTATAGAAATGGAGTTATATACGTTTGAAGACACGTCTTAGAGACCGTGAAAAGTCAAATAGGGCAAAAAATAAGGGACAAAGGGAGTATTTTCTTTTACATCTGTTTCATAAAAATCACTTCTTTTTTTGGTAAAGACCCACTATGGAGTACTATTTTAATATTTCTCTCTTCTATCAACTCCCTTACGCTACTTTTTTTATTAATGTATTTCTTTCTTTGATAACTATTGCTTAGACTCGCTCAACAACACGAAATTTAAGTAGAGCAATAAATAGCACGAACTTTGGGATTAAGTGCGATAAATGACATAAATGATTTCTATGCCGGAGATTCCCACAGATTCCGACTACCTTTGTTTATATAAAATTAATCACTACAAGAAATAGGCCAATTTTCGACGGAAACGTTCCGACGGACATAAATTCCGTCAGAAATTTCAACATTTCCGACGGAATTTTGGTCTATCGGAAATTTTCGTCGGAAAAGGTAAATTCCGTCGGAAAATCCCTCGGAAATATTCCGACGGATTTTTTTCCATCGGAATTCACAACTTCTGACGGAATTTCCGACGGAATATTCCGTCGGATCTGTGAATTCCGAGGGAAAAAATTCCGTCGGAGAAAATAAAAGAAAAAAAATAAATTTTTTTGGAATATTAGGGGTTTCCGACGGAATATTCCGTCGGAATGTATTATTATAAAAAAAAAACCCTAACTTTTCTCTCTCTCCTTCACCGCCTCTTTTCTCTTTCTCTCTCCTCCCCTCTTTCCTCTTCTCTGCTTCTTCGTCATTCTCCCTTCCTTCTCCTTCTTCTTCTTCTTCTTCTTCTTCTTCTTCGTTCCTTCCTCCTCTCCTCCTTCTCTTCCTTCTCCTTCCTCGCCCCTTTCTCCTTCCTCCTTCGTTCCTTCCTTTCTCCTTCCTTTCTCCTTCATTCTCCCTCCTCTTTTCATCAACAACAACAACAACTTCAACAACAACAACGACAACAATGTGAACAACAACAACAACAACGTGAAGAACAACAACAACAGTTTTATTAATTATTTTTCAATTTTGTAATGTAATGTAAATTTGTATGTAATTTTATAATTATTTTACGATTAGTTATGTTAATTAGTTATTAATTTTACGATTGTATGTAATTTTATTAATTATTTTTTCAATTTTGTTTCGATTTCGATTTTTGTGCGATTTTTTTACGATTTTGTACGATTTTTTTTGCGATTTGGTTTTGATTGGTGGTGGTTGGGTTTGGTTGGTGGTGGGGTGGGTTTGGTTGGTGGTGGGGTGAGTTCGGTTTGGTTAGGGTTAGGGTTTGGTGGGGTGGGTTCGGTTTGGTGTGGGTTAGGGTAGGGTGGGTTTGGTTGGTGGTGGGGTGGGTTCGGTTTGGTGTGGGTTAGGGTGGGGTGGGTTTGGTTGGTGGTGGGGTGGGTTCGGTTTGGTGTGGGTTAGGGTAGGGTGGGTTTGGTTGGTGGTGGGGTGGGTTCTGTTTGGTGTGGGTTAGGGTGGGGTGGGTTTGGTTGGTGGTGGGATGGGTTCTGTTTGGTGTGGGTTAGGGTGGGGTGGGTTTGGTTGGTGGTGGGATGGGTTCTGTTTGGTGTGGGTTAGGGTGGGGTGGGTTTGGTTGGTAGTGGGGTGGGTTCTGTTTGGTTAGGGGTTAGGGTGGGGTGGGGTGTGTCTGGTTAGGGTGGGGTGGGTCTGGGAAGGATAAGGGGTGGGTTTCGGGGTGTTTCGTGGTGGCTGGTGGTGGTAGGGTTGTGTGGTAGTTTCGGGGTGTTTCGTGGTGGCTGGTGGTGGTGGGGTTGTGGGGTTGGGGTGGGTACTGGTGGTCGAAAATGGAAGGGGTGGTTGTGGTGGTGGGGACTAGGTGGAGGGGGGTTGAAATCAAGTGGTTGAGGTGCGGTAGGTGGTGGCTGTTTTTTTTTTTTTTTAATAAAATTTCCGACGGAAAATTCCGTCGGAAGGAAGTAGATTCCGACGGACTTACGTTGAAAGTCAAATTCTGCTACGACGGAATTTATTCCGTTGGAAATTCCGTCGGAAAACACTTTTCCGACGGAATTTCCCTCGAAATACCCCAAATTTCCGACGAAGGATTTTCCGGCGGAATGTTTCCGACGGAATTCCGTCGGAAAGGCAGTTTTCGACGGATTTTCCGGTTTTTCCGACGGAAAAATTCCGTCGGAAATAAGCTTTTTTCTTGTAGTGAATCCACCCTCTCCTTCACGTAAATTCTATAGTCATTAACCTATAATAATTGGTTAGTTCAACTCTATTTACGGTATGAAATAGGTGATTGTAAATTACCATCCACAGAAGACAAACACTATATTCCTTGAAAACTAAATTGAAGGTTGAAGACAACGACACTCAACCATTGTTTCCTTTACTTAGTAAGTTTTTTGTACTTGTTTGATCTAAAATATGAATTATAGAATACAAACAAGAAGACATATTAGGGTTTTCACGTTTTGTATGATTAATTTTGATTGATTTATGAGTAAATTTTGGGTTTGGTGTGATTAACTATGGACAAATCCCAATTACAAAGACTATAGTAGTCACTTGAAGGGAAGGGTGTTTTTTTTTTAATAAAATAGCCGAAATCTAGTGGAATCTCTAGCACCGAAAATAATTTATTTCATTTGTCGTACCTAACCCCTAAGGTTCATGCTGTTTATTGCTCTACTTAAAGTTCGTGTTGTTGAAGTATTGAGCGCACACAAATAATAGTTTGTGTTGTTCTTGCTAACTTTTCTGTAAGTATATCTGTATTAACTATACTTTATACACCCTCTGTGTTTTTTAAGTGTTACACTTTAATCTGCACCTAGTTTTAATTTAGGCAATTTAATTAATTGGTTTACATATAAAAAATAAAAATAAAAAAAAAAGTTAAGTGAAATAGTTGGAGTATTAAAATTGTAAGCAATTGTAATACTACGTATCTTTATTTATCAAATAGTTGTCATGTATAATAAATCAGTAATATTAGTGAAAGGGTTTATCGCCTTCGAAGACAAGGTTTTTTTCGGTCTCTTTTGAAAGACAAGATTTTTCGAACTCCTTCGAAAGCCAAGGTGTTATTTGTGTTTAATTTGGTCTCCAGTTGTACGGAGCTACGATTGATTATTGCTCGGATTCGGGTTACACAATCAGCCCAAGAATTTTATTTTTCACAAAATTATGAAGCGGCGATGGATCCACTTAAAAAGTTGTGTAAGACAACAAATCGAGAATGTGCTAAATTGTTATATTTATGTATTTGGATTCTTTGCCCCTCCCCGATCAATTCTTGTTTGATTTTGTTAGACTTGTTTTTATTGTTAATTGTCAATTGTAGATGCCGTATGACTTTAATTTATATAGTGTCCTTTAGGACTTCTTTCAAAATAAAAAAAAAAATAGTGAAAATGAATTGATACGATTTCAAGTATATAAATGATACTCCCTCCGTTTCATAATGTTAGTTGCATATGGAATCAATCACATAAAATAAGAAAAGAGGAATGTAACACCCCCAAATATCCCTCTACGGAAATATTAGTATAATAATATCGTAGATATAGACTTAGGTGTATTACCACCGTGTGATTACGCAAGGCTACTTAAAATACTTAACTCAAACAAAAGTTGAAGCGGAAAACTCAACTTTCTTTTATTAATACTTTATAAAAATACTAACATTGTTATGAGCACTCAAAAGTAAGATAAGACCAACACTCCTAAACTAGGTGAAGCAAATCCCGGGACTCTCATATGCTCATCCATGACTCCACTTGAAAATAGTCAACACTGCTTACCATTAAGGTAAACAGGGCGAACCAAAACAAATAGGAAATACGAATTAGCAAAATATGCTAAGTACGATAAGTGCAAGATAAGTAAACTCAATTTATTAGTAAACATGCTTTTAAAACCAATCATGAAATTCCAATAATTAATTCAATAACTCAAACCTCATAATTCAAAACCAATTCTCTGAATTCTCAAAACAATTCCAATAACTCAATTATAATTTGAATAATAATTCAAGTGATAAAAACCAATTCCTTTTAATAAACCCAATTCCTCTCCTAAGTGTGCACACCCCCAATCTAGTATCTTTATATTGAAAGGTTATTCTTGAGAAAAGACTAGGTCATACAAAGTTCATAGTCTTCAATGAATCCGCATAGTGGGATTAATATAATAATCATGCTTGTAAATCTTTTGATAAATAATTCAATATATCCTCTTTAAATTACTCTTTTGAATAAAATCAAACTTTATAATAGTATAACTTAAAAACTCCTTTTGTATTTAATTCAACAAGCTTTTAAAATCAAACCTTTTTTTTTAAAAAAAAAAACTCTTTAAATCAATCCAACATACTTTTAAAAACCAAATTCCTTTAAACATAATAAATAATTTCAAACCATTCAAAACAAGTTAGAAATCCATTCTCAAACATATTTATTAAAACATGAATTCTCAAGGTTAATTTATATGTCATAATTCAAAACAATTTAATTAAAATCACACAAACATGCTTATTCATTCAACAATTTCGAAGGTATCTAGCCACCTAAACGTACCTTGATTTCGAATCTCAATCAACACTTCTCACTTTCAAAATTCAATCACGATACACCTTGCAATTAACATAACTGTAATACCCCGTATTTTTGAAACGTATTTTCTAATTAATTTATTGATTATTATTTTCTAAAAAGGGTATTTTTAGTAATTTATTTTACTGTTTGAATTTTGGAGCCAAAATATATTTGAATTTTGGCGCCAAAAGTATTTTAAAACCTAATTATTATTTTTGGCTTTATTTTATTTTTAAAAACTGAATTATTTATATATATTGTGGCTAATTTAATTAAGCAAAAATTATATTTTATTATTTAATTGAGAGGTCCGAAATTCCTATTGATTGGCTATGATTTTTGGATCTTCATAGTGTGGAAAATCTGATTTTCTTAGCTAAATTATTTAGTGAATAATTGGTATTCTCTTAATTAATTATTTTATACAAAATATTTAATTTATAAAATTATTTTTAATCCCTTAAATCTAGCAAAATAACTTCCTAAATTATACTAATGTTGAGCTATGGAAGCTCAAAAATTTCGGCCACCATGGTTGGATTTTGGGTGATTTGTTTTGGTAAATTGTATTTTTAATTATCTCCCTTAAATCTATTATTTTCCTTAATTTTTATTTCCCACCTTCTAAATATTTGATCATCTTATTTCCCTACCTTATTTCATCCTTGATTATTCCCCAAGCAAACTCCTTTTGCCATATTATTTTTCATGACAACATACTTTCCTTAATTTTATTATTCTTAGTCACCTTAATATTAAACTTTCCATAAATCTTTAACTCTCTTCCCCAAGTAATTCCTTAATTCTTTTTACCATAATTCTTCCTACATTCTCCTACCATAATTCATGCATGAGCTAGCCTATAAATACCCATTGATTCATGGCTAAACACTCACACCAAATTCTATTAATTCTCTCTAATTCTCTTCTCCTTTTAATTCTTCTTCTTTTCTTGCGCCAACCACCACCAAACACCACCTCCCACCACCGGCTGCCACCTGCCGCCAACGCCGGCCACCACCGCCGACCACCGTCGACCACAGCCACCGACAGCCGCAAGCTGCCGCCCTTGCCGCCACCTTTCTTCCTCTTTTTCCTTGGTTTTTTACCTCTTCTTCTTCTCTTCTTTTATTTAATTAATTATTATTATTATGGGGGATTTATAAAAATTATTTTAAGTAGTTTTAATTAAATAAAATCAGATTTTTATTCATGTTTATGAAAAATAAATTATAAGGTTCATGTACATATAGTTGGGGGTTCTTAATTTAATTGTGTGTGATTACTTGTTAACCTTATATTAATTAAGGTTATATTTATTTGTAGGGTGTGTTCAATCAAAGTTCTTGAAGTTTCTTTTTGTATTGCTAGCAAGGATCAAGGGTACGTTTAGGTGGCTAGATACCTTTGAAATTGATTGGATTGAATAAGCATGTTTTACATGATTTTTATGATGATTGAATTAAATTGAATTGAATTATGATTTATGAAATAAATCATGTTTTAAAAAAAATTGGTTTTGATAAATGAATTGGAGGATTGATTTTATATCATGTTTTGAATGGTTTGAAATCATTATGTTTAAAGGACTTTTGTTTTTGTAAAAGTATGTTGGATTATTTTAAAAGAGTTTTTGAAAAAAAAAAGTTTGTTTTTAAAAGCTTGTTGAATTAAATACAAAAGGAGTATTTGAAAAGTTTGATTTTATTCAAAGAGGAATTTAAAGAGGATTTTATTAAAAAAACTTTACAAGCATAATTATTATATTAATCCCACTATGCATGCGGATTCATTGAAGTCTATGGACTTTGTATGACCTAGTCTTTTCTCAAGAATAGCCTTGAAATAGTAGGAGACTAGCTTGGGGGGTGTGCACACTTAGAGAGGAGATTGAGTTTTCGAAAATAATTGATTTTACTAATCATTATTATTGAGTTATTGAGTTATTGGAGTTGTTTTGAGAATTGGTTTTCAAAAAGAGGAATTGGTTTTCAAAAGAGGAATTGGTTTTATAAATCGTTTTATCGAATTATTGAATTATTGAAATTGGTTTTGAATCATGAGTTTTGGAATTATATTATTTGAATTGGTTTTAAAAGCATGTTTGCAAATAAATGGAATGTAATTATTTTGCACTTATCGTACTTAGCATATTTTGTTAATCCGTATTTCCTATTTGTTTTGGTTTGCCTTGTTTACCGTAATGGTAAGCAGTGTTGACTAATTTCAGGTGGAGTCAATAATTGAGCATATGGGAGTCCCGGGAATGTTCTTCACCTAGAATTAGGTTGTTGGTTTTTGTTTAATTATGAGTACTCATGACAATGGTTTTTATTTATAGTTATTATTAATAAAGAAAGAGTTTGAGTTTACGCTGCAAAGTATTGGTTTTGGTTAGTAGTTTAAGTAGCCTTGCGTAATCACGTGGTGGTAATATGCCTAAATCTATCTATATGGTATAATTATACGTATTTATACTGGTATTTCCGTAGAGGGAGATTTGGAGGTGTTACAATAATTATAAGGTTATCACAACATCTTTAGTCATAAACCCAAATCTAATGTGTATGGACTATACAACTCTTTTAAAATAATACTTTAATATAAAATTATAGCTTTGAAATAGGAATTTATATTTTAGAAAACTAACCATGAAGAAAATAAAGGAATAGGATTAAAGAGAATTAGATTTGCATTGGCAAGAATAGTCAGAACTTGAAGAGGCCATAACTCCTTCAATATAACTACGAATGGGGTGATTTTTTAGCTTAACTACAAGGATTTTTTGGGAGGAACAATTTTCCGTGAAATAGAAAAACCCCAAAACTGATCAAAAGTGCCTGAAAATTGGCTTCAAATGCATATGGGCCGATTATGTATGAAAAGAGTAGAAAGAAAAGAATGAAAAGGTTTAGGGAAAAAAAGAAAAATAAGAGAGAAGAAGATAATTGGATTTTGGTGTGAAGAAGAATATGAGAGGTATGAGGGGGTATTTATAGGCTCACGAATGAAAGAATTAAGGTAAGATCTTGTAGGAAGAATTATGGTAAATTTGGTTTAAGGAATTACTTGGAAAAGAGAGTTTAAGAATTAAGGAAGGTTTAGTTTATGGTGATTAAGAAATAAAGAATTAAGGTAAGTAGCTTGATCATGAAATGGAAGATAGCAAGTAAGCTTGCTTGGAGAATAATCAAAGAAGATTTAAGGCAAATAAATTCCATGATCAAATCTTTGTGAGATGAGAAAAAGGAATTAAGGAAATAAAGGAATTTAAGGAAGATACTTAAAATAGAAAACTACTAAAATAATTAACCCAAAATTATCATGAAGTGGCCGAAAATATTGAGTCTTGCTAAGCTCATATTTTCGGACCTCATAGATAGGTTTTAGGAAATATCTTGCTAGATTTTAAGGATTAAAAATGATTGTGTAAATAATATATTTTGTAGAAAATAATTAATTATAAAATACCAACTTAAACTAACTTAATTAACCAAGAAAAATCAGATTTGTTACACTTAGAAAATCCGAAATTACTAGCTAATTAAATAGGATTTTCGGCCCTTTTAAAATACAATTAGGAAGTACAATTTTGTTTAATGAAGTATCTGAAATATATATACAATTTTGTTTCTATTAAAATAATAAATGGATAATAAATCTTATCCAAAATCCAAAATGATATTTCAAATGTTGTTGGCGCCAATATTCAAATTCAAAATTCAAATAGTAAAATAAATTACTAAAATACCGTTTTTAGAAAATATTAATTAGTTAGAAAATACGTCTCAAAAATACGAGGTATTGCAAGGAATATTTGGAATCTATCATTAAAGTATAAAATTATTCATAATTAGTTTACCTTATTCAAGGTAGAGATTTTCTTACGTAGAGCCATGTCATCAATCCACAACCAATTAATTTTAAAAAAATTAAGTAAAAAATAAAACATATTCAATAGATTTTTTGAAACGCCAAAATAATATATGGACTAATATTATAAAACGAAGGGAGTATAAATCGCTAAAATTAGTCAAAATGTTTTTAGTGTTTTACTACCTACAATATAATTTTTTTTTTTAAGGTTGTAAAATACGAGTAAAATAAAAGAAAATGTTTTATTCTATATTTTGATTTTCATTTAAGAGTGCAGCGCAAGAAAGCGGTAAATCAGTGTTCATCAATTTTCCACTCTCACTACCTCTCTCGATTTCATCGCTTCCCTCTTACTAATAAGGTAAGTTTGTTTTTTTGATTGTATATCAACTTTTAATTCCCTAAGATTTTCGAATTTCTAAATCAAAATGTAATTTTCCAATCTGTCGATTGTTTTGTTCCATATATTTCATGTATTCAATCCCGCAATTCGATGCTTTGATGATTAAATAATTCTTAAGGTTTAATTGCTTAGAAATTGTGTTTTTTATTTTGCTTGCTTAGTTCGATTCTCGCAGGTTAGGGGGTTTCAATACACTGTTTTTGATCCAGAAACTATCCCCAAAATTAGGGCTTTTGCTTAGTGTTCTGTTGATTACTTTAAATTTTTGTCTGGGGTTGTTTGAATTTGAGCACAAATTTAAACTATTTTTAATTAAAAATTAGGGTTTAATGTGTGTGCAAAATCTGGTTTTGAAGTGACTATTATATAAAATATAGCCTCCTGAGTTTTTATAACAGCTGAAGTTGGAAAGGGAAAAAGAAAAATACCCCGAGCTTAAGCCTTTCGAATGTAGGGTTCGATTAGCTTATATTGTGATACAGATGGTTGAGGACTTGAGGAAGGAGGGGTTAGATTTTTGGTATTTGTTTAACGTTATATCTTATATATGAGCTACCAAGATCATTTACTATTTTGTAGATTCTTTATTGGATGGAAGAATGTTATTATTGTCGTGATTTGGCATTTTTTATGGATGGTATAGCTTTATATTGAATTCATGATAACTTTACGCTGTGGTGGGCTATTTGTGGAGAGTATTCTTCGTCAAGAGGGGGTGATGAAGAAGTTAATTGGGGATTATTTTGCATCAGATTTGTTTGTTTAGTTGATAGCATGTTCTGATTGATTTGAGTTGTTGTAAATTGGTCTTTGATGGTTGGTGCTTGGAGTTGAAAAAAGGATGAATGAAGGATTTTATGAGGACGAGTTTGGGAGTAGCAGAGCTTGTCAATATATATGGCATTGTACCAAACTTAATTGGAATTGGGTGTTAATTATACGTATTGCATAATTGAATACAACTTCTATTCCCTAACTGTACTTATTGTTTGATCATATTAGACGTTAAATTAGATTAAAGTCAAAACATTTCGCAACTTTGAATACAAATATTGACATTGAATGGAATATGGATTAATAGCTAACTATTGACATTGAATGGAATTTTAGATTAAGGTTGTTATATTTGTAAAACTTTTGAACGTTTGCACTGATCCCCCCTTTCGTCTTGGGTTCAGATAGTTGATTTCACCTAATCAAGATGTTTCTCACCAGGTAACAATCTCTGTCTACAAATCTATTTTTGGATGGTTAAAAATTACCAACTATATGCCTTGAACAATTTCTATTATGCTGACACTTTTCTGTTGCATGCTTTGAATTAAGGACTGAGTATGACAGAGGAGTCAATACATTCTCACCAGAAGGTCGGTTGTTTCAGGTTGAGTATGCTATTGAGGCTATCAAGGTATACTGTTCATTTTTACAGCTTACGTGCTATGTGTGATAGATATTTTATTTTACTGTTTTTTTTTTTTTTTTTTTTTTTTTTTTTTTTTTTTTTTTTTTTTTTTTTTGGTGTGTGTGTGTGTGGGTGGGTTGGGGGGGGGGAGGTGGTTATAGAGGATTTTAAGAGCTAACTTGGAAACTCCATTGTCTTGCCAAAATCCAGCTGGGTTCTACTGCGATTGGGATAAAGACCAAGGAAGGTGTTGTGCTTGTTGTGGAAAAACGTATCACATCTCCATTGCTGGTATCTATTCCTTCTGAAATTAGCACCTCTTCCTTTTCTAGCTGTCTAAATTTATACAAAAAATGGTCAACTTGTTCTTTTTTCATTTGATAGCTAGTCCCTTGCACTGCTTTAATTTCTTAATAATTTAGACATTTGGTCAACTGATATTTTAATATGTGAGTTTCATTATTAAAAACATTTTAAGGCTGGCCTTTAGCCTTCTGATTCTGGTAGCTAGTCGAGCAACCTTATCTTATGGTCCCATTAATTTTTGTCCTGTTTCAAATTTTGCAAGGAAACTGCATTTGTTCTTATGATTTCTGCATCACATGTGGAGTAAAGAATCTCAACTTGACTCTTTTGAAAACTTTTCTTGGCTCATGAAAAAGCTAAGTGTATGCTGATGCTAAATTTCATCAACCGTTTGAGGCAGAATCACCTAGTGTAGTTGTAAACTTCACACATGCTATATTTTATAATCTATTCAGTATTTTTGCATGGTACTCAAACGATTACCTCAAATGTTTGTTTCTTCTTTCTCTTAGGAGCCTAGTAGTGTAGAAAAAATCATGGAAATTGACGACCATATAGGATGTGCCATGAGTGGATTGATTGCTGATGCTCGCACACTTGTTGAGCATGCACGAGTGGAGACCCAGGTACTTTTGAAGCATCATGTTGTTACTATAATTTGGGTTTGCATATTAGTGTTGCATGGGGTGACTGATTTCTTTATTTCTGGTTGTTCTTGTGTCAACTCAATATGCAACAGAATCATAGGTTCTCTTACGGTGAACCAATGACTGTTGAGTCAACTACACAGGCTTTATGTGATTTAGCTCTTCGTTTTGGGGAAGGAGACGAAGAGTCCATGGTAAGTCATTTGGTTGGAATTCCCAATTGCTGTTCATTCCTCTTGTTTATTCTTTTTAAAGGAGACTCTATTTTCTGTAAGTAAAATCAGCAGGAGGATCTAGTTCAAAACATGCAAAACTCTATGTTTACATGAAACCTATGTTTTCCTTGCTGTATAGTGCAGATAGCTCCCACCCTCTCGTAGTGGTTTGATTTTTTAAGTTCTCATATCAAGAGTTGAGTTTTCAACTACCTAAATATTTAATGGTCACTCATCTGTTTCTAATGGATTGTGTGTTTGTGCAGTCTCGTCCTTTTGGTGTATCTCTCCTCATTGCAGGTCATGATGAAAATGGACCAAGCTTGTAAGTCAAAATTTGTTGAAATATTATGAGCTCCAACCTTTTTCTAAATGCCAGTTTTATAGAACTTCACTTTGCCTATAGTTCTGGTGGCTTTAGGGGGTTGTCTATCTGGATCTTAAACATACTGCTCATCTCTGTTTGTAGGTATCACACAGATCCTTCTGGTACATTCTGGCAATGCAGTGCAAAGGCTATTGGTTCTGGTTCTGAAGGTGCAGATAGTTCCTTGCAGGAGCAATATCGTAAGGTATATTTTACTGTTTATATGTACGCCAGATTTGATTATTTTGATCCTTTGTCTGCCAGTATTGAATATTCACAGAACATGATATACATTTCCAAATTCGTTGAAGAGAAAAATGTGACTATAATTATGAAGAATTTTGAAGTTACAAGAAGGCATCATCCTGTAAATCTGTAAGATCACTAAAAAAGCCTGAACAAAAGTATAGAAAACGAGAGAATCTTGTAAGTATGATCAGAAGAATTCTTGTTTGAAATTCTCTCCTTTCTTTCAGTTCACGGATCCACCAGAAAAGCCATGCCACTGTAAAACCTTCCAATCTTTTTCCCTGTCAGGATTGACTTATGAGAAATGCCAAGGCTTGAGCTGGGAGTCACTTTGTTTCCATTGACTTTTGGGAACTTTACGCCACCGAAGGTTGGTTGATTGGGAAGCTGTATAGCAAGGAAGGGAATTAAAGCAGCAAAGAGTAGAAGACTTGTAGAGTGTAGAAAAATCTCTTCTTGCCTAAATGCTTCTTCTCACTATTGAGCTTCTACTTACTTAACTACAGGAAAAAAAATAAGGGGCTTTGAATCACTCTTATGTCAAAGGGTATGTGATTCTTTAGGGATCTACTAAGTTACTTCTCCTCCTTTAATGTGTGATCAGAAGTCCTTTTTTAAGAACTAATGATTACTCCTTCCTGGGTTGGCTTACTAGGTCTTGAGTGGCATCAAAAGGAGCAAGGCAAACCACCCCTTTCTACGCTATTCCATATTCAGTACATCTAGTTTGGAATAATTAATCTTCTGTGGCCACAAAACCCTTATAAAAGCTAGGCAAGCATTTCTCGAAGGAACTTCCTCCCTTTTACCTTTCCACAACATAATTAGGTAACTGCAAATGCGCCATAATAGAAAATTAATAAGCAGACTGAACCATTGTTATTATAAAAACAATTGATCCATGGAAAAGGTGCTGTCTCAGAATGCAGCTAGAGAATAGAGATGGTTGTTCATAACCGAACATTATTTAGGCCACATTCCCTGATGATTGTCATCAGTGTTGAGCCTACCCATACTGGCTGGCCTAAGGCCTTAACCTTCTTCCGTGCCTTGGCTTTCAAGGTAAAATAGGCTAAAGGAAATGGAAAAGTATGGGCAGATTTTTGTAAATTATATAGAAAGATATACACAGTAAGCTGAGGACTTCCACTCTTAACGCCCTGATACCCAGAGAATGAGAAAACGATGTCTTGTTTTTAAATAACTCTGTTCACATTAGTGTTAATGATTTTGATTATTCTTTATGTCTCAATCTTACATAGCATAAACATGCCTCTGCTTCCCATTGCAGGATTTAACTTTTGAAGAAGCTGAGACTATAGCGCTTTCCATCTTGAAGCAGGTTATGGAGGAAAAGGTAGTGCTATTTTCCTGATCAATATTTTGTTTAGTTGTGGCAAGTGCATGTATTTAGTGTTCCAATCTTATTTTTTCCCCTTGTTAGGTGACTCCAAACAATGTCGACATTGCAAAGGTCTCCCCAACCTACCACTTGTATTCTCCATCTGAAGTGGAGGCTGTCATCGGTCGCCTTTAAGTTGTACTCTGCCAGAAGCTGCTGTGCCTGTCTTCAGTCCTGATTTCTCTCTTGATGCTTTGGTTCTCTCTGGTTAATGAATATTGCCAGAAACCATTTTGGGTTGTTGTTTGAATGTACGTAAACAATTTGAGGTTCAAAGCTGTTCTTGTACTGTAGTGTATTCTGTTTTGCCAAGTGCCCGAAATTAAGAGGAACTCAAACCTTACAGAAACTGAGACAGGAACGTAGATTATAGGATCCTAGAATTACTGAGACAGGAACATAGATTATAGGGTCAAACTAATTGCAACTTTGTAAGTCAAGATTCTATCCATTGCTCGTCATCAGCAGGTTTCAAATTGATGATTTTTTCTTTTCAAAAGCTGAGATGGATTTTTTGTTGCATCTTAACATTGCTCTAGAAATTCTCTATTAGTATTTTAAATTTTTTCTTTGACAACGGCTTTATTTGCATTAGTTAAAAACAAAGTGGACCAGCAGAACTTGGAACACTAGCTTTTGCAAACCAAATTAAAACAAACAGTATAGCTGGTAATTTGCTCTCATCGGAGGACCTAATTGTTGGATGAAATCTTAAATGACAACAACGAAACTTGTTAAAACAGGCAATGGCGAAAAATTATGGCTAAATTAAGAATCTTATATGATGAATTATCTAAATGACCTACAGTTAGATTTTTTTTACTCGAGATTTTTGGCTCATTTCAACAATTTGAATCACATATTTAGTGGTTCGGTATCCTTTTGGTAGGGCATTCATCATAAAACTATGTTTTTGATCCATAGACTAGTTAACGGCTACATTCACACTCTATATCTCAACCTCACTTACTCCGTATCAAACTTTAAGCCCAATATTGTTGTTCCTAGTTACGGAGTATTACCTTTTACTCTTGTAGTAAATTCTCAATCACTACATTTAGTATTACACTTTTGTTTAATTTTTTTTTAGGGATTTCTAACCTAAAATTTTACCAAAAACAAATACGAAGTAAATAAAAAGCAATGTGTTTTTTGTGTGGTTGGCTTCACCATGTAGTCGGTTGACACCCACCAAAACACTAACCGAGTAATTCTTATTGACTGAGTAACCCCTGACCGACAGAATAACCCTGACCAGATAACTCTTAACCGAGTAACCCTTAAGACCTTAATCGACCGATAACTCCCGATCGATCGAATAAACTCAGAATAAGGTATGAAACTCTATGAAAACCTTTTTATTCATTAAAAAAAAAAAAAAAATTCGAAACTTGAACAAATATGAATAATAGACCTTTCTAGAGAAATCAGGGAGAAACTTGAGGAAGAGTCCACCCAGAAAATCATCTTTCGAGGGAAGAAGAAGAACGAAGGTGAAATAATGGGAATAGTGAAGAGCTGCTTCTCATTCGTGGTGGGCACTGTTTGCGGCGTTTATATCGCCCAGAATTATAAAGTTCCTGATGTTCAAAAGCTCGCTTCAACCGCCTTGTTCATGGGTCGTCTCATCGAGCAAAATTATCGTAAGCCCAAGAAATCTGACGAAGATTAATCAATTTTTCTGGAATCATTCAATTCTAACAGGTTTTAAAATTTCTTATTAGGGTTTAATATGATTTTTGTGGGTAGTTGTAGTATAGTATATGCAAAACTGGGCGATTTAGCTGAATTTTTGAGGTGGGTTATACTTGGATTTTTGTGGGAAGTGTCAAATATTAACTATTATTCGAGTATGTAAATTTTGTTACTGATAAAGTTGAAGAAAGTTTTGTTCTTGACAAGTTTTTGAATTTAAAGGTTTCTTTTAATGATGAAATTGTTGATGGTGTATTGAATGAATTATGATATTGTATGTGATTGTACACCAATTTCATAGAATTGCGAAGTTGATATTCTAGGGATTTGATATTTTTCATTTTTTTTCATAGAACTTGGGCTGGCGTAAGCCTGAGGCTATAGTTTGTGTTTAATCATACATACTGTCTGATTTTTTTTTGTATCGTCTCGAAGTCATTGTATATTGTCTGAAAGGATGTTTCAAATTTTCCACCTGGTTTCCTTTCCTTGTACAGTACTGATCAAAGATGATGTGCAATTGAAATAGGAACAATGAAACTTTCTTATTTTGCTGCTGTTGTTAGGCAATGTAGGGTGCATTTAGATGCAACCATCAGCGTAATACCAATCAGCATTTCTGGTTTTAGAATGCACTTTGGTATTTGGTTTTAGAGTGCAGTATGCACTGCATATTAAGGGCAAATTGTGGGAATGTGGGATGTATTCTTAAGTTTCTTGTGAATCATTAGAATGACTTATAGCGGAAGCTTGGATGGTGGATCATATTGTGAAACTTGATTTGTTATTAGATAGAAATCTATCAGTAAGATTCAGCAGCTTGAACTCCCTTCTCTCTTTTCTACCAGCCTTCTTCACTCTCATAAGAAACTGTATCTTCCTTGAAGTTGCAAAAGGCTTTGAAGGCCATAACTTCATCCCAATGAGTATTAAATTTTACTTCTGAAACTTGTTCTTAAGGTTGTTGGGGCTACATGACTACAAATCCTGTGTTTTTGCCTTTGAATTTTGTATACTTTATTGGCTTCTTGTAGGTCATGTTATGATGCCAATAATGAGTGGCAGAGTGGTGCAGAAATTGTAGATGCCTTCTTTGTTACTATCCTTAGAATCTGCTTGCTAGGTATACTGTCTTGTCATTGTAGGATTGATTGATCAGAACTCTTTTTTGATCCTTAAATTGCCTTAGTTGAAGAAACTCGGCTATGAACTGCTTTGACAAGTCTGCATGACATAAGTTATGCCTAATTGGCTTTTGCTTATGGTTGAGATAGGCTTAATCCATGGTTTGGATGATGTATACAACTAGGGCTTGCCCACCCATGAACATGTCCTGCTGAGTGCTGACTCTGAGCCTGACAAACTATATGAGGTATCAGGGTTTAAGACTTGAATTTAAATCTTTCGGAGTACTAATTAAAAGAAGATTAACATGTATGCTGTCTATCCGGTGCTAGTTGAATGTACAAGCAAGTTTATTGTGAATCATTGGGATGAGTTATTGGAAGCTTTATAGTGCATTCTAACTACTACTGAATCATAAATTTCTATCAAACAGATTAAGCAGGGAGAGGGCCTAGAACTTTCCTATACTTGATCTTTACCTTGCGAGCTATTCCAGCTACCTTTGGAGTTGCTTGAGGCTTTTAATGAAACCCACCCCTTCTTAAGCAGTGATTAGTTTCACGACTGCCTTTTTTGCCTGTCTTGCTTTTACTTTGGTGTTGTGTATCTGTTTGGTCTGAAACAACTGTGCATGACTAGTTCTTTTCCTCACATCGGAAGTTGAGTTGTCATAATGCGTTGCAAATTTGTGATTAGTGTATGCAGATTCCTTTTGCTCTTAACCTGTAGTATCTTAGGATTTCATTTCGACCTCTTTTCTCAACTGTCCAACAAAAAATTTGGAACTATCACTAGAAAGCTGATTATGGATTGCTTTGGTAAATTTAATGCATGAAAACCTCATATGTCATCCTGCATTATATAGGATCTGACCAGTGTTGCCTCGAATATGCTATGGCTGATTGGCTTTTGCTTATGATCGAGATATACATTGTATTATTGGATTTTTTTTTGAATGTACATTGTATGTTTGGATGGTGAATCCTATATACCTGTAGATATTAGGCAATCAGCCTCTTTTTCGCTGTGTAATCACTTCACTATGTCACTCTTCTGTTCATGGAGTTTCTGGATCTTCAGAAACAATTTCTTCGGTCCAACCCAAGTTTAGCTGGATTCTCATTGTAGTGTTAGCCTACAATCTTGGGAAACCCTACTTACAAGGGAAATAGGGCACAATAAAAAAATATACTCTAAAAGATATTGCACAGAAGTTATAATTAACTTTTTATTAATAGAATTACACTCTGTAGAAATCAATAAATGTTCAAATTTCTAGCCTTAAGTTTGTCTACAAAATTACTATTTCATCAAGTTGAAACTGATGTTTCCCTTGAAAAAAAATCAAAAGTTGTAACTGATGTTAGTCAGTACTCGGCCAACTTCTGTATGATAGGCAGCACCTCGCTTTGCATATTCACCTCCACAGAATCGTCAACTTGCTTCTGTATTGCTGAAATCATGTCACCCTTTTGATTTGAGCACCACCTACAGAGCTAACACATATAGACCGCAATCATATCCGTTTGATTGCTGATGGGTCTTGCATTCCACGTACTTGGGTAAAACTGCAGGTCCGGTAGCAGCAACTGATTCAGATTTCGCCTCTTCAACAGGTTTGGATAATTCAGACTGCACACGTTTCTTCTTCTTGTTCTCCTGTTTCTTTAATGAAGTTGATGAGATTTGCGCCCTTGAAACTTCACTTCCATCCGGTCCCATGTATTCCTTGACGGCATCATACAGCTTCATGGCATGAAAGCTATTCAATTCCTGCATGCTGTCATAATGCATAAACAAATTCTTCATCCTGTCATACACCAGGGTGCTCCAATGACTCCCACCAGATTCATCGTTGTCATTAACAGCGAAAAGAACCAGTCTTCTTGCTTGACAGATTAGAGGAATTCGTGAAATCTTCAACGAATTTATCATCCTCGCAGTCTGCTAGACAGATAGATACACTCCGGTTTGACGAACAGGATATCGTCAGTTTTGCGGAAAGAGCAAAGATAACTGAAGTATAATGCAATGATTTGGTCATTTGAGGAAACACGGTCCTCGTAATGTGTCATTGTACTTCAACACTACTTTGTCTTCCATGTCTGGTTTTCACAATGCAACGGATTATAGTTAAAGATAAATCCCTGGATCAGAGGATTTCGAAGCGCGAAAGCAAGACGAGGAAAGGGGTTATGTATTCAATAGAAATTAATCAGTATTCGTCTGTTTGGATTGTACAATCTCTTACGGAGTATATATAACTCTAATTGCCTTGCGCCCTACTCCAAGTTTCTAACACAGAAAAGCATTTTAAAACTTTTTTTTTTTTCTTTTTTAAGGTAAAAAAGGGAAATACAGAATTATTAAATAGAAATACTCTTGGTTTCAAAAAAAAAAAAAAAATACGTAGTAGAAATACTCCTACCTATAGGATTTATTACAACAAATTTGAAGTCCAATATTAACATTAACCCTTTGATTCTAAATTAGAGGCCCAAAACACGTATAGTAAGTCCAAAAACAATAAGTATTTTATTTTAAGAAAAAAACAATAATTATTTTGTTTAACTTTACTTTCAAAACTACTCCGTATTTATTTTTAATCTTTTTTTTTTCAACATAGTCGCTTATATTATGACTAGGGTTGAGCAAAACTATCCGATAATCCGAAAATCCGATCCGCATCCGATCCGAAAATTTCGGAT